AGAAAGATTGCAGTTTTTTATTGGAAAATTGAAAATTGGAGGGTTTAAGTGAGGAAAAAGAGGTTGGTTAGTTGAGGGGGGATTGTCATTTGTCATGAATGTTTGTTGGCCTGTTGGGTTCCATGGTTTTCATTTACCATTATAATGACAACAATGGACTTATAGGCTTGGCTTATTTTCCTATTTATTTATACTTCTTTGTCCTGTGTTTGTTTCTGTTTCATTTACACAGATTGAACAACTTTTTGACTATACATACTTGTATAGCGAAATACATATTTTTGTTTACGTTTTCTAGAATATGTAATTTAAATTTGAAAGTATGCATAATTGTCGATATTCGACAAAATATATATACATTATCTTTACCTCTGCCAAAGAGTAGACTTGGTATTTTTATTATGTTTTCTAATTTGTTGAGATAGGGTTCCAAAGTCAAGAGTTTGTAGATGGGGTGGGACAGATGTGTGCCAATTTTCCATTTTATTAGGTTTTTGTACCTTTGAGCATTAATTTTTGTTTGGTCTTTGAGGAGAAAATGACAGATGTTCCTTGAAATGTGAGTCATGATCTTTATGGTTCTGCTTGAAACTCGTATATTTCCTCAAGTTCACTTGGGCATCGTTTGGCAATCATTTCCACAAAAAAAATAAATAAATAAAATACCCATAATTTCCATGCTACTATCTGTTGGCAAAAATTTACTTGCAATTCTAATGACATGAAATAGTTCAATGCTGAAAATGCAATGTCAAGATTTCCATGCTACTATCTGTTGGCCAAAACTTGCTTTTTCTTTCCATCCAACAGAACTATGAAGCAATAAAAAGCCTCTTGTCATGTATACAAACTTGTAAGTTGCAATTGTAAACATCAAAATTCCAGTTGTCCTGGTTGATCAGATTTGTCAAATACATTGGGGACATCCTCTAATCTAATAATAAAATATAACCTGTAGTAAAAATAAAAAATAAATAACAGAAATGGAAAGCCAAATCACTTAGCCCACACTACTTCCTCCCCTTTCCCCTCTTTCCATTTTTCCCAAACTTCTTTCCCTTCTTATTCTTGGTCTTAAGATAAGAAGCCCTGTCTGCTTTCTTTTGCTTTTCCTTCCGAACTTGTTCGATGTCTTTGATTTCATTACGGACATGAGCATTCGGCACTGACCGTTGACTCCTTCCACCTTTGAACCTTCTTCGGTTATCCCCTCGAAAATCAGAAGTACCTTTCGACGGAAAAAAAATAATAAAAAAATGATATTGTCATCACATCTTTTAGCACATCTTAAAGAAAAAAAAATCAAATTGGTAATCTATTTCTAAGATAAAATTCACCTGATGCACTAGCAGCTCCTTCTGAAGTGCTTTCATTGCTCATCCCTTTAAGCGACACCTTCTTGTGCGAACGTTCAATCCACTTCTTGTATATTCCAGTTTTCTTGGCCTTCACTTTTGCACCACTTTCTGTCTTTATCTGCAAGCCAGAAGTACAAATGAACAATAGTTTTCTTTTCTTTTTTTTTTTTACCAAATTAGGCATCAACACGTACCTTTCCACTGGCCGTCACGCGATCCCCAGTGTTTAGCTTGACGTACTTCTTGCTCCTCTATTACAAATTCAACATCATTACAAGTCAAAAGTTAAACAAGGGCATATTTATGATATTTTCTAATGTCCACGTGGAAGGTGATTGTTTAGCATATGTTACCTTGTCCCAGTGGAAAGAAGATTTCTGCTTCTGCAATCCTCCACTATCATCAGCATTTAAATCAAGAACAGCAGATTCTAACCTGTTTCATAAAATAATAAAAAAGTAATAATAACAAATACCAACTGCATCCCCATAAATTGACATTTGACATCTTGAGGCATGTAAATATTAAATAAATGCGCGAGTATCAATTACTACACTAACCTGTTTGATTCAAAGCCCTGGTTATTTCTCACAGAAAGCCCTGCTTCAAAATGCTGAAATTGATGCAGACAAAAAACATTTACTTAAATTGGTACACGCAAGCCAAGCCAACTTGTGCATGGAAAAATTTATTGAATATAAAATCAGTAAAATTAAGAGATTATGTAGTAATTTACCTGATTCGTTGGCACGGAACTAATGAAATATTCATCATCTTTGAAGGTCTGGGCCTTCCTTTTGGCTCCTACTGCAATAACCAATACCAAAAATTTAGAGAAATTATGACTATATTGTAATAGTGTTAATCAGCTTCAACCGAAAAATAAGAAAGCAATGGTTATACAAAATTTGTTTCATATTACAGTCGCAACAAAAGAGCCGCTCAAACTCTTATGACCTCCATAAGTACCACAAAATCTAATACCGAAGAGGCTACGGATAATTTATGCAACTTGGTTCTTTGCACTTATATAGGCCACGGTCCACTTTATTCACATTGACAAACAAAGTACCAAACTTCCAATCTAGTTTTGTACTCAATGATTTTGTTACTTGAATCAAAGCCAAAAATGGATTGGATAGATCATGTTAAAAAATAAACATAACACCAATATCGAGGTAGACACCTTGTCTTCGCCTGTTCTCTGGTGGATTATCTTCTGGTTCAATTTCCTACAGGAAGAAAGGAAATTTAAAAAAAAAAAAAAATCTGAGAAAAGACAAAAGGCAAGTATATATTAAATGATCACAGAAAAATATTCCACTTAGGTTAAGAAGGACATCTATCAGCTCAACATGCATGCGGATGGAAGAAAATGAATCAATTGCGTGATATTTATTACCTCCACAACATTATCTCTAGAACGTTGCTCTTGAACCTTTTTTATCACCTCCTCGTGCACGGCTCTTTTCACCTTCATCACATCAACCCATTGACTTGAAGATCCCTGAGATTTCTCTTTAAAATCAGAAGAAGTAAAGGAACAAAACAAAATATAAATCTACTAGCAACAAAATAACAGCTGGCACAAATATAGAACAGAAGACGGTACCTTTAGATTTTTCGATTTCGCAGCCTCGCCTTCAGCTTCCAGTATGGTCTGCTTGGGCCTATTAGCAAGTCACATTAACGACATAAGTTGTTCAAGGTAAATTCCCTTTTAACTGTTTCAAAACTCAGGTTCAAAAGTTCATTCATGACTCACTTAAATGCTTTCAGGCGCTCGGAAAAGGCCAAAGCTGTCAACTCATCGCCACCCAATTCGTTTTTGAACATAGGATGCAAACCTTCATGGGGCAGGTCTTTAACCCTTTTAATAGACTCCCTAGATGGCTTTGCTTTTGTCTTGGTGTACAGTGAGAACGCCTTTGAAGAAGGTCTAAGCAAGCCAGCGAGTTCTGCGGACGACTCAATGATTTCTCGGACTCTGTCTGACAGTAGATCTATGGCTCTCTGGGAAAAACGTCCGTAAACGGTCCCACCGTTCGCAATCGTTTGATCTATTTTAGCCATAGCACTATTTCTATCTCTTAAAACCTCATCCTCAGTTGGAGCAGGCCTAATCGGCTTTGAAAGAAAGAGATGAAGGTCCAATAGGTAAGCCATGTCCTCTGACGTAACAAAAGAAAACGAAGTCCCAGTTCGTCCAGCCCTCGCAGCCCGGCCCACACGATGGACAAAAAGCTTTGGCTTAGGCGGGAAGTCAAAGTTGACCACATTGTCGAGCAAAGGGATATCAATTCCCCTAGCGGCCACATCAGTCACGATTAGCAGCATAGTCTTCCTAGCCCTAAACTTTGAAATGTGGATCTTCCTAGCATCATGATCCATGTCACCATAACACACGGAAGCCACAATGCCGTCCTCTTTGAAGAGGGCATAAAGAAACTCGACATGATATTTAGTGGAGACAAAGATTAAGGTCTGCTGATCGGTATCTATGTGCTCCCTTATCAAATACAGCAAGGCTGCATATTTTTCTTCCTGCCTCAAGGTGAAGAAGGTGAGCTTGAGGTCGGGGCTGATTCTCGTCTCCAAATCAAGCCTGACCAGCTGCGGGTCCCGAAGGCCAGCCTTGGCAAACTCGGCGAGTGCACTCGGTAGGGTAGCGCTAAAAAGCAAAGTCTGGCGGTTTTCACCCAGCTTACCAAGGATTCTGTGCAACTGCTCCGCAAATCCCATGCTAAAGAGGCAATCGGCTTCATCAAACACGACATATTCCACAGTTCGTAAGGACATGTCATCAATCTCTTCCAAATGATGCATGAGTCTACCGGGAGTGGCAATTATGCAGTCGGGATTCTGAGCCAATTCCTCGAACTGGCTTTCCATGCTATCACCACCGACCAGTAAGCTAGAACGAAGGTCTATGGAGAACAAATGAATTAGCTAAGCAAATATAACATTATAGTTAATTGGATCCAATTACATCATCTAGTAAAGTTAACCGCCCAAAAAAAAATAATAATTTCATCCATTTAATATATATATAAAAACACCATCTTTGAACATTAAAACGAGAAAACGTTAAGTACCTGTGAAGCGACCTAATTCCTTGGTGAACTTAAAAGTCTGAAGAGCCAAATCACGCGTCGGGGAAAGAATAAGAGCCCTAACTCCGGCCTGGGGCACGTGATGCTGGAGCTTCTGGAGCATGGGGATGAGGAACGCCGCCGTCTTGCCGGAGCCGGTGCGGGCCATGGCGACGACGTCGTAGCCCGATAGGATTAACGGCATGGTCTTGCGCTGGATAGGCGTCGGAACTCTGTATCCCTTCTTCTTGACGCCATTGTAGACATTGGGGCTCAATCCCAGCGACTCGAAGCCGCCGGATTTCGATTTCTTCGCTTGTTTCTGCTTCTTCGCCAGATCAGCTTTCGAGACAGCGAGTATTTTGCCGCCATTAGCCATTGCGGACGAGGGAAGATTCTCCGGCGCCCCTTGTTCGGTAAGGGGAAATGAAAATTAGGGAATTTGTGGGGGGTTTTAGGGTTTATGTCTTTATGATAAATAAATTGCCAGTACCCGGTTGTAACCCGATTGGATGATAAGAGACCCGAATTAGTTGGATCGGGTAACGGTTTGGTCCAATTAAGTTGAGTGGTATGTTTGTTTATGGAATTTCTCAAAAAAATTCCAACATTCTAACTCAACCATTTTTTTAGGGCGTTACTATTCACCGCCCCCCATATTACTAGTCACCGCCCCCCTTGGACAATTTTGCCCTTCTCATTTTTTCTAAACATCTCAGAGGAAAGTGTACGGTGAAATGTCGTCAAATTCGGAGGTACGAAAAAATACGTGTACGGTCGCCGGTTCCGGACGGACTAAAAGCCGTCCGGACGCCGGAACCGGACGGTCCTTAAACCGTCCGGAACGGCCGGCTGGACGACGTCAAAACCGGCCGGAAAGCACGGCCGGACGGCAAGAAAGCCGTCCGGAAACGACGGCCGGTCGGAACCGGTCCGTCCGGTTCGGCCGGCCGGCCGGAATTTTTTTTTTTTTTTTTTTAAATTATTATGTTATTTATTCGAAATAGTTATGTTATAAATTGGACTATATTATTATGTTAGAAATTATTATGTTACATTTTAGACTTCATTATGCTATTAATTGGACGTTTATCGTGTTAGGAGTTACAAATTATTATGTTACATGTTGATTATAATATAAATTGGACGTTTAGATATTATCGTGTTACGAGTTAGAAATTATTACATTATATATTAGTTTTAATTATGTTATAAATTGACGTTTACATATTATTGTGATCGTGTTAGGAGTTACAAATTATATTAATTGAACGTTAGATAATATCATGTTACGAGTTACAAATTATTATGTTACATCCTAGAATTAATTATCTTAATTTAACATGTTCTAAAAATAGTACTATATAGCAGGAGTCATGGGAAGATTTTGGAGGAGATGGTGTTGATTACAGTCTGCGTTTCGATACATGTTCATTCTATAATAGTGCTCAGGAGGCTATTGAAGCTGCAAAACACCAGGCAATGCTGAATGGTTTCCTATTAATTATTTCGAGCCACAAAAAGAAAACGGTCAGAGTTTTGAAGTGCCATAGAGGCGAACGGTACAGAGGCACAGGCGGAAATTCTAGAAGGACAAAAACGAATAAGTGCGGCTGCAATTTTGAGATCAAAGTAAAAAAGGTGTCCGGCGTTCCATACTGGAGGATCTGTAGATGTAGCAATGAAGAGAAAGGCTACCATAACCATGCATTTGCTGTGTATCCTGAGGGTCATAGCCAGTTGAGCGGTCTCAGCGCTTCATCTAAGAGAATTGTTCGTGACATGACGGACGCTCAGGTGGCCCCGAAAAAAATTATGGCCGCGCTGAAGGAAAAGAATCCGGGAGACAACGTTCATGTGCGGCAGGTATATATATTTATATCTTGTAATATATGTTTTAATTAAATTTTTTAAGTTAATTATGATAATTAGTAATTTTTTATATGTAAAAGTTATTGTAATAATTAATAAATTTTATTATATTTACTAATGTATTATTATTGTGATAGTTAATAATTTTTTTATCAAATTAATCGCATTAATATACTTTTTTATTTATTAATATAATAAAATTTTTGTTTTAAATTATAATAATCATTATAATTAACGCTAATCGGTGACAGGTATATAACTTTAGAGATAAGCTGCGGAGAGAGGGTTCCGACGGTAGAGACGTTCCTACTCAGCTTATGCATTTGGCCGTGAGCAGCCAGTATACAGTTTATGTAGAATCCGATCCGAACACGAAAGTGCTGACGCATATATTCATGGCCCATCCTGCGTCGATCAATCTATTCCGGACATATCACTGGTATGTCGGTATAGATTCCACGTATAAAACCAACAGGTATGTTACTTTATAAATACTTTATTAGTATGAATCTTAAATAGTGTGTTTGATTAAGTTAAGTTTTATGTGCTTATATTTTTTGTCTTCTTGGTTACATTTGCACAGGTACAAGATGCCGTTGGTCGAGATGATTGGGATGACGCCGTGCAACCAGAACTTCCTAATTGCGTATGCCCTCATCAGGGACGAGAAAGAGACCAGTTACGACTGGGTTCTAGAGAAGTTGAGACTACTGATAGGCCAAAGCGTATATCCTTATGTTGTTGTCAGTGACAGAGAGTTGGGTTTACTCACTCCTATTCAGAGGCATTTTCCTGAATCAGCCCACTTACTCTGCACGTGGCACATCAACAAGGATGTGGAAGCCAAAACCTACCAACTATTTGGGAAGAATAAAAAATTCTCGGAGATTTTCACGCACAGTACGTGGAAGGCGATTGCAGAGGCCAGTACGTTCGATGCCTACAACGATGCCGTTGCCGAGCTGCGCGCAAAATATTCGAACAATGCAGAGGTGATACGGTATGTGGAGGGCACATGGTTAGTGCACCGCGAGAAGTTTGTGAAGGCTTGGACCAACCGAGTGACACATTTTGGAAACACAACTTCCTGTAGGGTGGAGAGTGCCCACTCTGCGTTGAAGGAGTGGCTTCAGACGTCCACCGGCGCGCTCGATACGGTTTGGCAGAAGATTAATAAGCATATCGATAATCAAGTGACTGAAATCAAGTACGTACTGCAATTTTTAAATGCGTTATTATATTACTGCATTAATTAATTATAATCTAACGTTATGTAACGTATTATCAGGACGGCGCTTGAGGCCTCGAGATCTAAGAAGAATACACGGTATAAGGGAATCCGTTTCGCGAGCGTGATACTGAGGGTCTCGCATTACTGTCTGAGTTTATTGGACGCTGAGCTTACGAGGATGCACAAGTTGGACACCGATGTTTACACTAGTTGCGGTTGTGTATTGCAGCTCACTCATAGACTTCCTTGTGCCTGTCTCCTCCGTAACGCAGATGATTTCGACGTTCCGATTGATCTCGGAATGATTCACCAGTTCTGGAGAACGCTCGAGATATTAGAGCCAGGTAATTTAAGATTAATGTTTTATTTATAATTTTCTATTAAAATACATTATTTGTTTTAATTCATTGACTTTTTTATCGTATACTTGTAGGGACTGGTCATCCGAGCCAGGCGAGCAACGCTGCATGGTCAGATGCGGCGTTCTTTCAGACGCTTGTGACTGAGGTTGAAACCCGCGATCCCGCGACGATGCGGTACGTGAATCAGTTCATGTACAGTCATCTTTACCCAGACCAACAGGATTATGCGGAACCTGAGGTTAAGGATAACCCGCGAGGTCGTCCCAAGAAAACTAATTCAACTAAGCGTAAACCATCTGCTTTTGAGTACAACGATAGATCGCGAGGTCGGAAATCGAGCCGTACGACCAATTCTTCGCGTGGACAGACAAGTTCGTCTTCTCAACAGTCACAAGGGGATGAAGGTCATACATTTTTTTTTTTAAAATACGGTTGAGCGTTAATTAAAGTATTTATATGATTATATAAATTGTGACGTGAAATTATTATGATATTTATTGCAGAGTTCAGACCGACAAATATTTTTGGATTTTCATATTGGCAATGTATCCCCTGGCATATGTTGGACTACGTAGTGAGTTACCTGAATGTGGAAGCGGATGGTAACTGCGGATTTCGGGTCATCGCGAGTCACATGTATGGTCATCAGAAGTACTGGGCAGATGCAAGAGAAAACATTGCGAAGGAGGTCGACAACCACCCTGAATTGTACGAGTACATCTATTTTAGAGATATCGAGGCCGGACTCCGTCGCATAAGGTGGGCCAGAGGCTCTTGTGGACCGACTCACTGGTTCGAAGTTCCGCAGGACCTCTATGCCGTTGCGACCCTATTTAATGTGGTTGTCGTTCATTTGAGCTCTGGTCCAAACGGTGGGCAACACGACTTATTCAGCACCACAGTGTTGCCTCTCACTGCACGATCATCGGCTAGAGGACCATGTCGTGAGATTGCCATTTGCCATCTTGGTACCGTAGAACACTACATTCGTTTAGATTTGACTGATGATTGTCCATTACCGCCTATTCATAACATGTGGTTCCGTTACCGAGATCAATCGGTTGTGGGTTGGGAGCATCAGTACCAGTCTAGGTTGCAATTGTGGTATACTGTTCAAACAAATCGTTCTTGAATAAAAGAACGATATTATTCAGTTATGGTATGACGCTTCTCATTCAACTTAAGTTTAGCAAATAAAAATAAATAAATGAATCAGTTCAACTTAAGTTTAGCAAAAAAAAAAAAAAAAATCATTCAACTTAATGTTTTACAATAATAATTAAAAAAAAAAAATTCATTACATTATTATTGGGCATTGTCGTAATCCAACTTAAACTTAGCCAGCTGTTCTTCGACTTCCGCCGCCTCCGGACAGTCTGGAACAATCTGCTGCAAGGTCGATGTAATGCCCAAAAGACGGTCCACCCACTAAAAAAATGAAAGAATAAAAAGATAAGACTAAAATTTATTAAAAAAAAATATTTGTAATGAATTAACATTAATTAAAATTTAGTAACCAACTTACATAGGCGGTATTGACACGCGTTGGGACCTCGTTCTCGTCCGGCAGCTCCTCGCCCATGAGAGTCGGATGGGAAACCCGACTGTACCACTGCAGGTAATCCTCAGTCGCCTCCCCGCGATCCTGTGTGGTGTGGGTCAACATACCGGTGTTGACCGTCCCAGAAATCGGGAACTGGGTCCAGGCACCTACTGCACCAGCCTCAGAATGCTCAACCTTGTAGTTCCTAGACTCCCAAGCACGTACTGCACTGATTGGCGGGAATATAGGGGGAGGGACAGTCTGGACATACCCCAGCTGACGCAGACACCGCGCAGGCAAGTACGGCTCGACGACATCGCGGTATCGAATCAATCCGCTATAAAGAGTCCTCGGCTCTATCGCATCTGGGCTGGAGCTGCCGTATGGCAACCATTGCACCTGTTCACAATTGCATAAGAGCATTTATAAAAATAATTATATTATTTTAAA